TAGATTGATAAATATACCTAAGAATATACATAAAAGGTGTCATCTACATACTGGATCCATACTACCTAGCTGGGTAACGAAACGTTTAATGAAATATTTGCAAGAAAACAGCCAAGCTCAGAGAACCCCAAGGACTCCAAAATACATACATATACATATTTTATATTTACACAAAGATAGAACTCCCATGTGAACATATAAGACAGTGAAGTACAACTATTACTTTTAAGAGGTTCTCTTACTACATCACACTGTAGATTTTGTTGACCAATAGCATAATCTTTTGGTCTTTCTAAGGCAACCCAGACAATCATAGGGTTCTTTAAATTTCCCCTTCTGAAAGTACAACAACTTTCCAGGCTTGTGAGGATTCGGATCTTGGAAATACCTCTTTGCTTTCTATGGAAGTCTCACATGCACACACACCCACAGACACACACAAACACACACATTTTTGATCATAACTTTTGAGATGTTTCTTCTATTGAGTTACTTCTATTTAACTTTTCCCATAACGCTTATTCAAATTTTACTTCAAAAATATTGTTGGAAATTCAGGATACTTGTGTTGCACTACTTCTATAATATTAAATTCACAGTGGCTATTTTTCTTAAGTTTTTCTGTATTTTCATCCAGTTATCAAAATAGAAAGCTTGCTTTGCATAATTCATGAGCTTTCAACATATCTATAAAAATCATATTCTAAACCCTTTTTTGTAACCCTTTTTTGAATGTGAATAGTGTGTTTAAAATAGATTTCTAATTGCAGAAAAGTGTAGCTTCATTTTACATGCAAAATATAATTTGAGCCTGGGAAAGCTTCATTTGCATGCTGTGAAAAAGGGGTGCAAGAAATTTGATTAGATTTTCAGCATATAACTAGGATAAAATTAGTTGGAAATGACCTGAAGATTAAATCCAATATGCTCCAAAATTTGTTAGTTCTAAAATTATCACTAATTAATTTATATATTACAGAAACCACAAAAAGACACAATGACCCCAGTATCTGACATAATTATGTTAGGGTGAGGAACGAAGCTAAACAAATAGACTTAATTCTGTATGGATATAGACACTAGGTAGGCAAATGATTCTCCCTTTGTTTGATTTCTCCATCTAAGAAATGGGAATAAAAATACCCTATATAAAGATTTTTTCCCCATATGATTGTGTATACAGTATATATGGGGAAAATGTAATAAGTAAAAAGCAAAAAAATTGGAAACAGAAAGTATGGTTTGGAAAATCATATCTATTCTCTGACTGATTACTGTCTTTTATCCACACAGATTTGCTCTTACCTAAATGATTACGAGTGGAGTCAGGCAACATGAAAAAGAATGTGAAAAGCTTATGAACTTTGTCCCTTTAAAAAAAAAACAAAAAACCCACCAAATTCTTAAGATACTGGATAGTGATTGGAATTTCTCTGTATGTATGATAGTGATGAATGGTTTTATTTTGTTTCCTTTCCTTTCTCTCTCTCCCCCTTTTAATGAATATGCTTTTGTATTGGTTTAATTCATTGCATTTTAAAATAGTTTTCTTTTTTATTGTAAATTGTAAAGATTTAATAGCATATAAAGTAATATAAAATAGAAATAAAGCTGCTTAAAACAGATAACCATTTAATTTCAGGAATATATATTAAGAAACCAGTCCATATCACATGAAGTCCATATCATATGAATAACAAGCATATACTATTAACGGATGATCTCCTTTAGAGTAGAGATTTCCAACTTTTTGGGATTGATGGGCATATCTGAGAATGTTATGAGCGCTTCCACAAAATGACTATTGGCAGCCTTGTTCATTCACAATGACTACCATGTATGGATGCATCAGGGTGTAGGCTAGTCTGAGAAATTAGAAAACATCCTAAAACAAGGTGATGGCAAGCTACTTTTGTGCTGTTTACAAGGAAACGATATGGATGTAATAGACTTCTCTAAGCCTGGAATATGAATGAACATTTGCAGAACGCTGCAGAACAGGAGCAGATGGATAATAACCAGCTCCCCCTTAAATCAAGACATTATATGAGAATCTAGACTTCTTGGTTGCTGTTAGGAGGCTTGACAATGGACAGTCTATGTAGTCCACAGGGTTGAGTTTTATTTGAGGGAGGCTTGACTTATTTGCCACCACACCCAGATACCTCTCCTGAAGGACACTCTCCAACAGCCCTACTTCCCTTTGTCCTTTTTCATGGAAAACAAGGACATCACTAAATGAAGGACTGGGTGCAAGCATTCCTTACTGTCATTTTGTAAGAAAGTTTATGGGATTATTTGGGGTCTGAATACATTCTTGATTATGAAGATGATGCAGAAAGTTGATACTTTGCAGCATGACAACTTCTGATTATATTTAAAGTTTTTGCATCGGGTAAGTAATGAGACCAAGAGAGGTATGCACAGGTACCACTGGGGACCCCAGCTCAGGAACTAGATGGGCAGTTCTCTGCAAGTTGGTGGCACACATGCAGGATGGCTAAGATTATCATCTGAAAATGAAAGCCACAAGGTGAACTTCCAACAAATACCATGAAAAAATGACTGACCTGCAAAAGGTAGAGGTAATAAGAACTCTGGGAAAAGTTGAGCAAGTACTTAAAGAATCAGTGTTAAAAATGTCATGCCACTGATGTGTGTTAATTTTCATATGGTAATTTATATGTATGGATGAGATAATTCTTGCACTGTAAATAGAAATAAGGGAGAAATAGAGAAAACTGCAGCCAGGTGAGTAATATTTCTTTTTAGCCTGTGCAGGTGTTATTTGTTGAAAAGGTGTTGTTCTACTGTCAGGCTCAGTCCAAGAAACAGTTCATCCAAATTCATTTCATTTATTGCTTACACTGTATAGACAGAATCTTGCCAGACTAAATATATACTACTGCAATTAGTGGATAGACCCTGGGAGATTCTAGGGAGTGGCTATCCTGAACCTCTTATGCTTCCCACACTTCCCCTGTGGACTGTGTTGTCTTTTGTCTCCTTTCCCTCCCTGCAATGCACCCCCTCCTTCCTGATAGCCTTGCTCTCTGTTGCTATCCACCACATCACTCTCTTCTTCGTAGATACATTCCATCACATCTATTGTCTTAAGCTATTTTGTTTTAAATTTTAAATCAAATTAGAATAGGCTTTCAAACAGAAGGTTGTCCTTTACATGAACCTTCATATGACCTATAGTAGGTCATCTCTACGTGAAGTTGTCCAAGTGGGGAGCTAAGAAGACCCAGTAGTTATATAGAGAACAGGGGAAGCCTACTGGTGCCTGGCATCTATCCAGACATTTTAATTCATAAAATGCAGTTTCCAATTTTCTCAGTGGGGTTTCTGGCTGGATTAAAGTAATGGTAGTTCCTTCTACCACTTATGTGGCACAAGGGACATATCTGCTTTGCCTATGGATTTGAGATCCCATGATACATGGCTAACACTGTATTTAAAATTACAGAAAACACAGGCCTATGCAATCTTATTATGCTATTAAATTTGAATCTATAGGATCAAATTACATGTTACTTAAAGATGTAACTAGCAGGTATATCTTTGTTAAAAAATGGTAAGGTAAGTATGGATACTTTTTTTTTTTTTAGTCTATACTTTTTAAAAATCCATTTGACTCCTGCCATGGTCTTAATATAGATCAAGACCTTGCACCTGGAATTTACTCTGTCAACACCATGCCAATGAAAAATGGATCAGCTATTAGCTGTAGACAGAAACAGGGATCTGACCTGGAGTATGCTGAATTCTTGAACCAAAAGATTAGGCTCCTTTCACTTATTCTTAAACAAATTTAAAGAAAAATGTAGCTTAAATAAAGCTACGTCTGTACTCAGTTTCAGTTTGGAGGAAAAGTCTGAAGATTCCTGTTCTCTATCTGAATCTGTCTGTTGCAGCAAATCACTTTATCTTCCATGTCAGAGACAATGCATATTAGCTGTTGGATTATATTAGCTAATGGAGTCCAGGTGTTCAATTTAATTAAAGATTAAACAGGTAATTTATTTCCAAAGGGGCATTTTTTGCTTGTAGAGATCATTTTCATCAACAGTAGTAAATAGTTTGTGTAAGTAGTGGGGTTGATTTGTTTTGAGCTTTCATCTGATGTACTTTAATTAAATGTAAGACATGAATGTATTTACTGCTAAAATGGAACACTCTGGATCTATTTCAAAATGGATCTATTCAGGGCTATTAGTAAAAATAATCCAGAAGACCACTTGATGGCAACAAAGATATACAGAAGATCCTTTTCTCTGTTACCATCTGGGACTTGATTGTCTGGAGTTGGAGCCTTAGACCATCATCAACTGGAAGGATCTGAACATATTTTCAGAGCAGTGCTGGGGTGATGAAACACTAGATTACTAGCCCTCAGGTTGTCATGTTCTCCTACAAAGCAAGACAGGAAGAATTTGGAAACATTTCTTCTACTGTTGATTATCTGTAACGTATCAGGTCCTAGGGGATTGCTAATTGCTTTCTAGTTTGGGAGGAAAGGGATGAACTTGTTTTAAAGGTAACTGTGTTACTGGATACTCAAAAAGAAGTATGCTATCTATGGAATGTTAGTTTATTTTATAAATTAATCCAAACATGACTGCAAAGAAATATATTATTGGATACTTAAGATTTACTAAATGATGTAACATTACAAATTTGAGTAGGTAATGCACTGCCTGAACCAGGGAAATACAGTATGTTTTGTTCTATACTCTTTTTTTTTTTTTTT